GGAGTCCAGGACAAAGGGGGTTAATATTTGGGGAATGCAGATTTGCATTTCAATGATGACTGGAAATGTAAACCTTGTCAGAAAGTACACTAGACATAACAAGATGTCTGAAATTTTTTTCAAAACCAGCTTAGTTCCAGTTGTTAGAGACAAAAGATCCATTACCGTAGCACTTGTATGCTATGTCTGGACGTGTCTTTCATTCACTAATGGCTGGAAGGATGTACTCTTACCTTTCCCCTGTGCTCCTGTCTTTTATTTCATGCTTTTAATGGAGTTTCACTGAGCAAATACAAGGCTGCCACCAGCCCAATTTGTACAGACCAGGTTACTGCTAGCTAAAAGATTTTGCATTCTTCAACAGAGGCAATTAAAAAAAAAAAATTAAAACCACTCAGATATTCCTTGCATGTTCCATTTGGCAATGTCGCATTTGGTACAATTACAAATGAAATTAAGGTCAAGGTTTTACCTCTCAAGACGATATAAACCACTCAGCGTAAGTTGTGTTTGAAGTTGCTCCAGAGCACAGTAATGTCTCATTGATACAGTTTTTCCAGTTACTTGTGCACATACTTTTGTTATCTGGTGTCATTGTTTTTCTGAATTTTAAGTATAATACTCATATAAGCAACTGCAATTTTGAAACGGTCAGCAACACTGACAATACTATGACTTATCATGGTCTCCCAAACTCAGTGGTTGCTAAGTAGAAGAGTGAGCCCGTAGGTGAGATCCTAAGTGCAGAATGTGGGCACAAGCAGAAAAATCTGGGAATCACTGCAGTAGATCTGTCAGGTTGACAGCTGTTGACTATTGCTCCATTTGCTCATTAGATGAAAGACTGAGGTCTTTGCAGACGAGTTTCTAGCAGTGTTACTGGTACTCTGTAAAATGTTAGGGAGGACAATCTGCTTCGTACAATGAAGATTCCCCATTCCAACTGTGGGGGGCTGTCTACGTAGAGGAAGGTTCCCCAGTTCCACTCCTGTCAATGTCTCATTACAGTCGTGTTCAGATTTTCTTGCCTACTACGTTTTTGTGATATGGTAAGTTTTTGTGACACGGTAAGTTTTTCAGAAATGTAGATCCCTTGCACATCACCTTAGAGTCCGTAAGAGCTGTAAATGTTGGTGCTTTCACTACCTTTGTATTTGCAGGTGAATAAAGGTTTCAAAACTAATTTTAGAAAGCTGGAGATTAAATTTTGGGTAGTGTATAGTATCAAGCAGTGGCATCCTGCTATCAAAACAGCAGCCACAGCCACGCAGCCTCCTCAGTGAAGGAGCAGTAGTGGAACATATTGCAATACACTGGCTGAGAGGCTGTAATTGCTGTGTTTGACTCTGGGAACACTGCCATTGCTGTCATTGACTTTACTGGTAGAATATGACCATGATCGGCACGACTGAATCAGCCCTTAAGAGAACATGAAAATGCATACGATGTGCTGGCTGGCCTGGTGGGAATGAAATCAATTTTCTGGCAGCTATCAACCTGACTGACAGTCTGAGCACTCCTGGATATTTCTGTGTGCTCAAGGAAACCCCTCTTACTTTCTTGCCTGTCTGCTGGATTGATGGTGAAGCAGAATAATCTACAAAAAAGGGAAATCAGCATTTTCAAGATCAAAGAAGAGGCTGCAGATTGAAGCATAGAAGGGCATATCAGATGGCATGTCAAAAACTAGGTACATAATGGTTGTGTTGCCTGTGTCATAGTACATCTTCTACTGCTCCTTATTTGCTTGCATGAGATTAAATCTGTTTGTGCAGTTGCATTATGTGAGTGCAAATGCATACAGAGCACAACTAATCGCAAGTTATAACCACGACAAACGTCTTAATTTATTTGGTGTATTTTTTCTTCAGAATAAAATCAGTAAGGAAAGAGAAATGATAAGAAAACAAAATATCCTGAGCTCTTCAATGTGCCACTTGTCTAAGGAAATGAAAATTAGCACCATTTTTGTTTCACTAGAAAGAAAAGAAACTGTGCTAATAGCTCTCATTAGCTGTTGTGTCCCTAGAAAGACCATTTATCTACTGTTTTCTTTCTGTAATTGTGTGTTTCTACAATGGATTTCTCCCTTGTGAGCCCCCCTTTTGTCTTTTTTCATGAGAATCTTTAAAAATAAGCAAACTTAATCCAGTCTCTCTCTGTACACAGTGCTTTAGAGCAAAGGTCAAGAATTTGCATGGCACAAAGCATATTAATCCAAGTTCTCCCTGGAAAACCAGGTGGGAAGGAATATTTTTCAGCAGGGTCAGTCACCCAAAAAAGTCACAGAAGTGGCTAGGTAAGATCACTGGCTACTGGTTTCCCTCTTCTCCTTTGCATATTCTAACGCCGGTGGACATATATTTCCATTGCTGTCTTTAGCAGAACAGCTGACTGGCATCTCTTTGGTGCCATGCTTTGCTTAGATCACTGCTATGGCTCTGCATGTCCCAGTGACTCAGCCCATTACTGAGTCCTGTCTGTTATGTCATCATCTTCTCCCTGTCACTTTTGATGCTAAGTAGGGATGCTCTGAAGCAGAAGTAGCTGTTTGCCACTGTAGAAAGGATTAAGAAGATTGTTCATTAAAAGTTATCATTATTTTATCCAGAGTCTTCTGTGCAGAAATATACAAGTACATACAGGAAATTCAGCATGTCCAGATATGACTGACTGACTGTGAGTGTAGTGAGCCTCTTTCCAGTGCATATGTAACTGGTCTAACAACCCCAAGAAATGCTAGCCTTAATAACTATATGCTGTGGATCTGTGCATGAAGAGCCACTTCCTGAGGATGCCTGCGGTCAGGCTCTCTAATATTACCTCACTCATTAAATCAGGTATTTCTCCTTTAAAAGACTGAATAAAGGTCTATATTGTGTTATTAAAACACATATATGAAAATACATTCAGTATGATCAGAAATTTGTTTTCCTTAGAACTAATGTTGTAATGCATTGGGAAGAAGGAAAGAAGACCTTTGCTTTCGGATATAAATTACTTATGAACACTGAGTTTAGAATGAGACATTCCCAGAAGTCAGATCTACTGGCTGTGTTTGTTTCCAAGAAGCAGTTGATACTGGAGAGGATACAAGACCGGAGAAATTTGGTGCTTGATTTTATCATCCTCTTGTTCAGATATTCACTATGTAAGAGATCTCATGTGGCAACTCATAAACACAGATCACTGGTTCTCGAGTAACTTCTTTGATATGGGTGTTGTGTAGGATTAGTGCTATGAAAGAGAGCTCAGAGGCACATTTTGTGGATCCTGATATTCTAAGTGAAGGGCTTACACATCAGTATGGAGGTGGAAATGAATGGCCTTCCTTACACTTAACCTTGCTTCACTGATCCTGATCTGTTTTCTAACACTTCTTTTGTACTGTACGAAATTCTGTGTTCAAAGATGGCACCAGTAACCCCTTTGCTATCACTGGGATTTGTAAATATACATTTTTCATCAGTAGGATTCATGCAATCCCAGACTGACTGTAGAATTGCAAATCATCCATTTTACTAACAAGATTTCAAGTGCAAGCAAAGCCATGGGGCCTTCAATGGGACCCTGTTCCTTTTACCTAGAGAAACTCCAAAGAGTTTTCACTGAGTGTTTAACATGAGGGAAGAGTCCACACTCATGTGGAAAGAACTATTGCTCATTTACTACTGGCAGGATTTTCAAGGTGCCACCTAATTCTGTGAGAAGAGTCATTTATCCTTTTGAAAAGATTACAATGAGCAGAGAAGATGCAGTGCAGAAGCCAGAGACACTGTGCCCTGATAGAGTTGAAAACATGGTTTGTGATGTTTTGCAGCTCTGCCACTGACCTGCCAGGTCACTTTTAGGAGTCATCCCCGTACTTCTTGCTTCTGTTTCCATGCCTGTAAAATGTAAATAGTAATAAGCAGTTGTTTGTATGTATCCTTTGGGGATCTTTTTGAATTGCCTTTTTTATTTTAATATTATAGTCTCTGAGACACAGTTCAAAATAAGCATGGAAAAAAATATTGCTTTTAGGATGGAAGAAGGTAGCTTGTATAGTAAAATTGCAGTTTCCTCTCTGAGTGCCCTGTGATGAAAAGGAGTCCTTGGCAGAAATGGAACCGTCCCCCCAATGCTGCTGCGTGTGCTTCTCAGAGCTCCTCAGGTTGACATTGAAACGGGACTTGAAATCTGTCAGCTCCAGTGAAGTAATTCCTGATTTTCACTCGCATTATGGGAGAAAGGGGGCCTTGGGAAGGGGTCAGGAGCGCTTTTCTTCTCTTAAGAGTATGGGTGAAGGCACCTTGTCCAAAATGCACCCGCTTCTGGAATCTTTTCAGAGATGTTCCCCAGGAGTGGGGAAATGTAGTTAGCCTGTTCCTGTTTGGGATTCTTCGTGTGCATAGCTGTTTTTGAGGCCCTGGGAGTCAATGTTAAGGCTTTGTGGGCCAACCTTCCCTGACTTGTGAGAAAAGGTGCAGAAATCTGATTCAGTTTTTCAGACCTGAAGAATGCAGAAGTTTTACTGATAACACTGTTGCATAGGAAGACTCTAGAAAATCAGTATTCCCAGGACAGTTTCTTCTAGTTTACAGTGGGATAAAGGGAGGGGAGTTGAGCAATAACTTTACCATACACATACCATTCTACCAGATGGAGCACTGAAGACCTAAACTGTTCTGCCCCTTTCTCAATACATCATTTAGTTGCTCTTCAGAAGACCACATTTACATTAAGATTTATCTTGTGATGCCCTTCTCATACCTGTATGAAACCATCATCAACAAGTATCTTGAAAAAAAACATTTGTCTGCATACGTGTTTATGTGCTTTATTTCTCCTCTTCCCTCCTTGGCAGGCTGTTCTAGTTTTCAGTCATCGAGGTGGGATAGGTTGGTTTGCCTTGTGAATAATCTGGCCTATTAATCCTTTCTTAAATCTGTGAATTTGCTAGCCTTTTTAAAGTCCAATGCAGACTGTTCATTTCTTTCTTTTATTTTGGTCCCTGTCAGGAAATGCCTACAGAGAATGCCTGGGCAATGGGACATGGGCTTCCAAGATAAACTACTCTCAGTGCGAGCCTATTCTGGATGACAAGGTCTGTATCGTTCCTTTTGTTCTTCTCAGTGTTATTTTTCAGCATACATGGGTGCAAAGCTAAGCTTAAGGTTAACATACTAATTTGGGACTTGTGAGCTGTATTCCATTTCTGTTTCTGCAACAAATCTTCCCTGTGAGTTCAGGTAATCCCCTTATCCCCTCTTTGTATCCCTTCTTCATACGTTTTTTAGGAAAGAAAGGATGCTTTATTACACTGTCTCTGATGATGTACGTTTATGCAAATCCTTCCTAGTTTTGTGTTGAGCCTATAGCTGCTAGAATAAATGTTAGTAATAATAAAAATAAGGCCAAAAGCTTCCTTGGCAGAGAAATAAAAGCTCTCACTGCTCTGTTCCTGTCAGTTCTAAGGTCTCATCAACAATTGGCCTTTCTAGGTCTCAATATAGTTTTCCCTTCAGTAAATAGGTAAAGGGGCAGCAGCAGAAAAATGCATAGAAGCAGGTGTGGGTCCCACCTGTCTTTAAAAGATTGAGCCAGCCATGCATTGCACAGGAGTTTAAAGAATGAAATTAGCATGTAGGGCTAAGCATGTAATCGCTTACGTGAAGACCTTTTCTTCTCAGATTGCTCACCTTTTCTTGGATGTATCATAGACATTCCCCCTTACACAGTTTAAACTTTTAGGCTTTTTAACGCTGTGTTTCTGTCTTCTTTCCCTTTCTCCTATTTTGAGTGCTATGGTGGGACATAAAAAGTACAGAGGCTTTGTGCTATCTCTCTGCCAGGAGTGACTTTCCCTCTGAGAATCAGGGTAGTGCCTAGCAATTCAGGCCTATTTATGTTTCGGGTTTTTTTCTATTCTTTCTGTTGTTGTTGTGCCAGGTCCATTGCAAGCAGAGAGGAGGAAGAAAAGATCTTGCCTACTTACAGTTCATTGCAGACTTTTTGGGTCTCGGGAACTATCTGGAATAGGGCTGCACCCAGAAATGTCATGATGTGTTTTGGCTGTGACTCAGCATCCATCCCATAGGATCCATGTTGTTGCTGAACGTGGGCTTTGACAAATGAATGAGAGAACAGATAACTACACACCAGCTGCTGAGGGGTGCCCACTCTCACCTGCTGGCTAGGTTGGTGGTAGCTTCCCCCTCAATTGGTAGAGACTTCTAGAAAGTAATAAGAAATGCGCCACTACATGACTGCAGTCCAGAGGGACTGATACACATTCAAGGTGTTCTAGCCTAACGGGGTGGCTCCCATGGCAGTTTTAGCTGATCTAAATTAGGACCACTGCAGTTCAGCCCCTCCTTACATTTGCTTGCCACTGAAAATGAAAAAAGTCAGGGTTTTTTGATAGGTCAGTTGTCAGTTGAATAAGTTCCTTGAACTTATTCAGGGATAAGTTCCCTGAATTTATCTTATTGCATTATTGCAGGAGCGCTAGGACCAGCACAAGCAAGGGGAGTGAAAGTGTAAACAAGGTTGAGGGGCTTGTCAGACCATGATAGCTCCAGCTGAGATGGGTTTAAACTTATGTGAAACCACCTCCTTCTTAACAATGAGCAAGACGGGGAGTGTGTAGCAGCTGGTAGTGGTATGGGGTACAGAGCTGGGCAACGTTCGAAAGCTTTGATTTGAGTTAGGCTAGTATGGAAAACCTGACCTGATAGTAGCATTGTCTGCCCTACCAGCTCAGGAAAATACTGCTGTATTTTAACGGTGCTCATTATCTGATGTCTCCATGACTTCAGCAGTTGCTGCCTCTGCTCAAATACAAACAAGTTTTATTTTAAGGGCTTTGGAGAGGCATTGTGGCTAGAGGACGGGCTTATTTCCTTTGCTCTGTTTTTCCTTTTAAAAAGTTTGCAGCTATGGTAATAGCTTAAAACTTCTTAAATAGTATGTTCCTTAAACAGGAGAGTGCAGATGTTCCCGCCCCCCACAACCATCCTTGTTTGCAAAAGCTTAAAAATTCATTTAGTGATTCTTTAAAGATTTTTGTCAAGCTTTACAGATATTAACATTCATGAATATTTTTGAAATTTGTATATAATGCTCAGTATTACAGATGAATACTCAGGTTACTTTGTGATTTCCAAAAAAAAAAACAAAAAACCTTCATTCCCCCATGGATTTCCATAATCCTCCATTTTGATTAAAGTTGAGATGCAAGTACACTTGTGGGTCTGTTGTTATTTACTGAGTGATCCCAGCAGATGCCATGAACTGGCTCCACTCAACTACTTCCTGTGGTTGGTTGTTTGTTTTTAATGCAGAAAACAACACAATTTTCAAGCTTGGTTACTTACAGCCAGAGTGCTAAGGAAGTACATGGTTTTACTTCAAATGCAGCGATAGATGCATGAGGATGGGAACAGGCGTTTTCAAGGTCAACCCAGTGTCAATTGCTACATTCTTTATGAGAGAGTGTTGGTAACATAGCAAGGGAAATTGCAATTTTTTTGAGCTGTGGGTCAGTCTCTGAAGACATACGCTCCTGGAGCACACACTAACTGATGGATTATGTTAATACATCGGTGCTTAACTTGGTGGGCATGAGCTGTGGCTACAGGACGGTACCTGATAAAACTATGCTGTACAGCTGCTGTGTTCTTAGACAGACACTTCTGGTGGGATTTACCCGTCCCACATGTAGTTTTGTAATTTAGTTTGAAATGCCGCATTGTGTCCCCATGGGTCTGGCAGATGTGACACAGGGCTTCTAGGAGAACTGAGTCATTCCGTAGCAGCTGTTTGACATCAGTCACCATAGGAATCACAGATTCTCCTGGGTGCACCTCAAGGGGTATGCCTGTGTGTGTACATCTATTTCCAGCTCCTGGTTCAGATGTTGGTTCAGATGTTCAGTAGATATCCAAATGTAGGTGTCTTAACCTTGATTGGAATCCCATCCTCTGCAGGATAGTTTAGCTTCTACTCCAGGCACAGGAATCGGGCACAAATTATACTGGATGGCATAATGTGTAATAAATGAAAAGCTTCCACTCAGCCTACAAGTATCTGTTTCAAAGAGACCTTCACTGCATCTGGCACAAATCTGTGCTCTTATTAGAAGACAAATGTGTCTCAGGCAGCAAAGAATATATCTCCGCTGCCATAAAGAGCTCTAAATTAAGAACTTTGGGTTCACCTTTGTGGTCTGTGGCAGCTGGATGTGAGTTTGGCTCTGCTACTGTTTTGAGGTGGCTTGAAGCTGTATAGCCAAGTTAACACCATGCTGGGCCTGAGTTAATGTGTCCTGCTCAGGAACATAATCATGTTAGCCACAGTTACACAGCCTCCAGCTGGCTCAGAACAGGAAAGCAGTGAGCTCAGAGGGAGATGGGAGAGCTCCCAACTGCAAGCAAAAGCACAGGGAAATACTGCCTCCTCCCTCAGCTTGGAGGCAGTAAAAGTCTGCTCTGACCTTTCATCAGCTTGTATGGTGCTTGATTGAGGCAAGATTCACTTTGACTGATAATTAATTGTCTAAAAGCTACACATTTAGTCCAAAGAAGTCATCCAGTTTTCCTCTACAGTCAAGAGAAGGATATAGAGGCCTCTTCAAGGAGTGATTATCGCTGTCTTGAACATTTTGCAAGAAGAACTGGACTATCCTTGCACAGTACCTGCCTCCTTTCCCTGACTGCTGAGGAGCCACAGACAGTCTGCTTTGCCCAGCCACTGAAATTTTAGGGAGTTTGTTAGGTGAGATGGTACCTCTATTTTGGCTATCAAGAAAGAGAGGAGGAAGGGAGAGGGCTCTCCAAGAGAGGAGAACTAGCAGAAGCCAAAGAAGGCCAATTTTTATTGAGGCAGCATCTTGGATAACAAAGATGCTTCCCAGCAGTTCCCAATAGTTTTTGGAGGGGAAATATGGTGTCTTTAAGCTGAACTGGTGATGAGATCATCCTGGGAAGAAGAAGAAATCTAAATTGGGACCCAGCTGGGAATAGAGTGCGGTGCCTCATACTGAACTCAGGAAGATATGTGCTGTAAACCCTGACAGGACCTGTTAGAGGGAGAACAATCCTTGTCATCTTGAGAGGGACAGTCATTAGCTGATCATAAGTCCAAGTGATTAGCTGGTTTGATTTGGACAGATTAAGGTAAAACAAAAGAAAAGATCCCCCTAGACAGAATGGCTCCTGCAGTAGCCTAAAGTCTGGCTGTAAAGAACCCAGTGTGCCTTAGTGTACAAAGCTGGTACAGAGAAAGGCTGGACACTCTTCCTCAGTTTACCTAGTAGAAGCTGGCTGGAAGATAACGTTGCACTGTCTGATATATGATGACTGCCATGGATAATGTGTGACATGGAAGAAGACGGTACCAGATGATGGTACCCGCTGTGCTCTGGAGACCACAACTAGCAGGACGTCCTGACCATCTCCTTCTCTAACTCCTTTCTAATGTGAAGACCTTCCTCCTTGTCCATGAATAGGACTTGAATCTGCACTGCAGTGGAGTGAAACATCTTCCTGGAAGCAGAGGAATGCTGGGTAGCAGTAGAAGGTTGTTACCTAGAAGGTTGTTGCCTCTTAAAGGCATCTGCCTTCGAGAGAGTGAGACAGTACAGAGTTATGCGATTAGTTTACATGAACCGAGCTTTGGCCAACACATGGCTGATTCTGGGCACGTGTTTTTTCAGCCCTGGAGGTGTTATCTCCAATTTTATGAGAGATGCAGATTGCTTATAAGCTGGTGGGATGTGATCTTGCCACCCTGTCAGCTCAGTTTTTCATAGGCACTGAGGCAGTGTTTGTTTCTATGATGTTTGAATTTGCCTTCAGGAAATGTTCTTAGCGTCAACAACAGGAAAAAAAAAAAAAAAAAGGTTGAGCCTGTTTTTCCTTCAGCACCAATGCTTCAAAGAGGAGCTTGATTATATTTTTTCCAATTAATTTTCTTCTCTTCTGAACTGTAACCTCTTAAAATTTGATTGAAGTTGAAATAATGGTTAGTAGCCAAAGGAGAGAGCTAAAGGGTCAAAGAGCAGGCTTCTTGGCTGGGAGAAACACTGTCATCTTTCAGAAAATTTCTAGCACTGCACCAGCACTTAAGTGGGAAAGAAGATAAGCAAGCCAGTGTTCTGGGACACTAGCTGAATAGCACAGCATTGCATTACAGGTAGGCACTTCAGTGCAAGCTGTAAGAGTGTGTATTCCCCCCCTTTTAGTGACCTGGTGTCTTTAGAATAAGCAAAAGTCAGTAACTTGTTTTTTGGTTCTCCTCAAGGCTATTCAGAAATGGGCCTGCGCAGGGGGAAGTTCACTTTCAGAGATTCTATAATAGACATAGGAAGACCTTATATGGTTGAGTTCTGTCCAGAAACAGCACATTACTCCACGGGCTGAAGAGCTAGGCAGGTTTCATCATGAAAATGATTCCAAAAGGGCTCACTTGGTCTCTGGCAAAGTCCTGGAAGATGCTACCTTCATATAATGATGGAGCAGATTAACCACAGCTGCTAGCTGTAGTTTCATCCAAACACTTATTCACTGACAGATTCCTTTGACTGAAATAAAATGTTAAGGAAAATTGTTACAAAAAGGAAACAAAGGAAGTTCAAACAAAATTAGAAAAGTGATGACACTTGCACGATTTTGATTTTCTATTTTTGTCAAGAGGGCGGAGTAGTTATTTTTCAAAGGTCTTTCTTACTTCTTTTTTTTTAATTTTCTCTTTATATCTTTTCTCTTATGAGGCAGGAGAACATCCCAAAGTGGGGGAAAGATCATCTTAACCTGAAAGGAAACAAATGCCAAACCTCCAAAAAATCTATTTTCAGGGGGTTTTGTTCTTTAAGTAGAAAACCTCTGTCAGTTTTTAACCAGCTTCAGTATTTATTTTTTCTACTTTTTGCTCTCCATCAGGCAAAGAAAGGAGCTGCTTCTGTTTTCCTGTAGCCAGCAGCAGCCCACAAAAAAAGAATTTTTCATTTGCTTCTGGAAAATAAGTCAATTAGGCTGAGGTCTTAAGTTTTAAAATAAAATAATGAAGAAAGCAACAAATCCTGAGGAAACTGCAGGAAGAAAAAAACTCAAAAAGAGAAAAAAACCTTTCCTGCAGGGATCTATAAGAAACTGTGGACAAATTTCAAACTGAAATGAAACCAAACACACACTTCTGCATCTGGCCAGCATGCTTGGCTAATACATAAGCATCAGCCCTGGGGTTATTATATCATTTTAAAGTCAAGAAAAGTAATTACTGTTTCCTAAACTGATTAACTGTTCCTTAATGTCAGTGCTCAGAGAGTCATGCTGATTTAATCATGTTATCTCTTTACCTCCAGAGGAAGTATGCGCTCCATTACAAGATTGCTCTCATCATAAACTACCTGGGGCACTGTATATCAGTAGGGGCCCTTATAGTTGCCTTTATGCTTTTCTTGTGCTTGAGGTGAGTAATCTGTTTGCATGCTTCTAACGTGGCTGGGTGTGTGACACTTATTATCGGGTTACTCGAGCCCTCTAACAAAGCTGTCCAGATTGTGTATGGCCCTGTAAAATGATCGTGGCATGTATGCTCCCAAGCATGTACACGGTTTTATTGACGGATGCAGTGGATGAACTGTAATGATGGCTTCCGTGCTTAGGACCCAGAGCCTATTTGTATTCAGGAAGAAAACGGTGCATGATTTATTGATGCAGTAAAAACCCTGTGAGCACACAGAGTGCTTCATTAAGGGAAACTGGGATTTCAGTATGTCGAGTTTCAAGTTTTGGGGGCAAGTGTTCTTCTTCCTAAGGCTGTGCATGATAACACAAGGTGTTTTGCATTCCCTGAGAGATAAGGGCCAGAGCTAGACCCAGGGAGGTGAAATGTAACCTTTCCATTGTGCTTTCACTTAACTGCAATTCTTGCCCCATTGAAGAACTTAGAAGTTTGTTTAAATAAAAGCTAAGTGAGTAAGAGCTTTATCTCCACCAGTGGTCATTGAAACTACATGGAAACTCCTCTCTTCCCTGGTTCACCGGTACAGAAAGGAGTTTGTGTGTCAGGTCACATGGATATCTCAGTGAAAAGAAAGCTTGGGAAGAAGAGAGAGGGCTGCAGGCAGAAAAGGAAGGACAGCAGAGAAGAACACTGAGTGGAAGTTAATAGGCAGATGTGCATCAGACACTATCACATGTTTTCTACGTGTGTATGGAGGCTGAATCACAGGAATAGTTTTCAATAAGAATGACCTGGTCAGAGTATTTCTGTATTATTTGTGCTGTCTTGTCTAGGAAGATTCAGCTTGAATTTGGACTCAAATGCACTATGTGCTCTGGAAGAATTATCCTTGAGACAAATGTTGTAATTATAGCAGAGGAGAAAGAGGCTGAAGAGGGCCCGTAGGACTGCCACATGGTGATAGATAATGGTTTCAGCAAAAGAATTACTGCTTTCCTAGAATGGAACATCTCTGTGAAGGCTTATGTTAAGTTTTTCTCTTGAGCAGTCGTAATGAGAGGGTCTTTTTTATCAACAACAGGAATTTTCTTTCATTCCAGCCTCTCTAAGCAGAATAACCTACACTAATGAGGGGGAAAAAAGCTTGGAACATTCAGTGGGAACGTTTCAGATCTATGATTTTAAAACTAGTTTCTACCTTTTTACTGTGCACATGATGCTAATTCCCATAGTGCTGGGAGCCCTGAATTAATTTGCACTGAATAAAGAATGCAAATTAGTCATTGTAACTAATTTTGATGCTGAATCTTTTATAAATACTTAAATAAATAAAGCAGGAACAGTTAGATAATATGGTATAAATGTATCTATCTTTTAACATTGAAGTAGCCCGTTTGATCTCTTTTCAACTGTTTCTGATAAATGAACTCTGACTTCAAGGTTTAAGTTTTGCAGTCAGTTTCATCATTAAAAAGGATTGTAGCATTTAGATAGTTCCGTGTACAGGCCCCAAATTAAGATATTCCATTTTCAAGATGCACACTGCACCCTGCAGAATAAATCTAGTGTCCTGATATAGTTGTCCAGCCAGCGTGAGCCACCTCAGTCTCTAAGAGTTACACGTCTTTGTCACACATATCTCTGCAAAGTATCCCAAAAGCTAATCAATTCTGATCATTAGAGTCCTGTTATTTGGGGCTTTTCTTTCTGTTTTAGTCTAGATGGAAGAGGGCATCTAGTAATTACGTGAAGCGGGACAATGTGTGTAGTTCCTGGCTAAAAGAAAGGTAGAAGACCGAGAAGGCTAGATCTGATATTTCCATATCTCTACCCACAGTGGAAATCTATCAGCTCTTCATTCCTGTCCCACCAACCTTCCTTATTCCATGGTGCCTACTAAGGGTGAAGAAAGGCTCAAGAAATACAATTACTCCCTATTTTTAGGCTTCCCACTTGTCGTCTGCCTGATTTTCCTTTACTCTGTAAGTGCAGATGGAGGAGGAATAAAGGAATAGACTGGAGCACATCTGCTGCATTGGAACATAGCTGTGAGAAAGCCTGAGGAATCACGCTGGTGGTTTTAAGCAACAGATAAATATCTGGCTGGCATGGCAAAGAGCATGTTGCTTTGGCGATGGGTTAGTGAGGTGGATGTTCTGCTTTTGGAGATAAGCCTCACCATTGCTTTTGCTGGCCCAGCCCAGGTACCTGTTGCAACAATAGGAAGTTTAAATTCTCAGTCCTGCTGGCGTGGGAAGGGGAAGAACTAGATGTATTCCTTATTCTTCCAAATATGTCCTGTGTCATCTTGTCATCAGTTCCCATCTCCCTCAGTTCCTTATGCACCTCTGTCCTCTATTCATAATGATCCCCCCCCACCCTAATAGAAATGATCTGTTGTCTTAAACCCTAAAGAACTTTGCACCGAAAGGTATTTTGAGGGGCAGAAAGCTCAGATTGAGCAGCAAGCAACGAAAGCATATGAAACGATCTGCCAACCATATTTCTGTGGTGCCAGGAGATCCCAGCAGAGTTGAGAAGGTAGGAGAACTGAGCCGGTGATTGCCTTCTACTGCTAAGATCTCTTCCATCTTTCTCCAGTTCTGTGGCTTATGATCCAGTCCTTCTTCCTTGACTGTATGAGGAAAAATAAGCCAGTAAACTTGCATTTAACACTTAAAGGAAAAAAAAGTGAAGCCCAATTTTCAGGAAAGGACTTGATTTTCTTTGGCACACTGAACGACAATGATTCATTGAGATAGCTTCTAAAGGGCTAAGTCAAGGATGATTCCTCAAGGTCTAACTGTAGGTGGTCTTAGAAGTGTGAAAGCCTCACTATCCTTACAAGGCAAGACATAAGAAACAACAGCAACAAAAAAGAAGAGTGCTGAGAAGGAAAAATTAAGAAGTTTTGCATACACCAAGTGTACTATAGAGCAGCATTCATACCTGATGCAGGATCGGGAGAGATTTGCTCAATGCACTTCACATGGCATTGGTATAATGTATCTGCACTGCTGTGAAGTGTGTGCTCCTCATTAACAGTAAAGGTTTAATTCATCTGTCAGGTGCCTACAGGCAGTTCCTGCTGGCGTGGCTCTCAGCCACGATCACATTCTAGTTTCTGATAAAGCAGAAATTTTCCGTAGGAGGAATTCTGCTAACAGTAACACTATTCGAGCTAAAAAAAAAAAAAAAGAGGCAGAAAAAAAAAAAAGCATTTCTTTTGAATGATATTTTTCCTTTCCTGTTGCTCAGTATGTAAAACCTCAAATTGCTGTGCCTTGGCTTTTTCCTCTATCAGCATCAGCCTCTGAGGTGGAAAGCGATTCCTTGTAAAACTCTTGTCTTGTTACGAAACACTGTAATGCCAGCCATGAGCTAACTAGATTCAATCAGGAGATCTTTTATTTGTGCAGTAATGACTGAAGCAAAGGCTTTTGCTACAGGAAGACAGGTGTTTGTTCTGGGGAACATCTAAATCCCCGCTGAGTTTGGAACTCCACAAAGAAGGAGGGTGCTAGAAGGAGGGTAGGCTGAGGATCGGAAATGACAAGTCCTTCTGCTGGGTAAAGGCAGCTCTGAAAAACCACACAAATGTGTTCTCACAGCGTCTTTTGTCACTAGTATGATGGTAATGAAGGCAAATAAGGACGTGAGGGAAACTTTGCTTTCCTGTTTCCCCTCCGTTAATCTCTTCCTATTTCCTCTTTAAAATATCTGATATTTCTCATGAACCTGAGGAAGTTGCCCTCTCCTTCTGCTGGTAACAGCTAGATTGCCTAAATCCTATCTATTTTTTTCTCCCAAAGACTGAATTATTTTTTTTCTCGAAAGAACATTTTCACTTTTTCCTTTTTCTTTTAACCAGCTCCCAGGTTTGGGGAGTGGGAGATCCCATTGTCCTTTTTCCTCCCCTGTTCCAGGTGCCTCTGAACTGCCTCTTGATCTTCAGTCTTGTGTGTATTTGGTGAGACAGCTGCTGCAGGTCCCTGTTAGTAAGGATGAAAGAGCTTGATTAAATGCTTTGTAGAAACCTGTCAGAAGAAATGTAGAGCATCCGTGCAGAGCAGGTTTCATAGAGTATGACATCTATCAGAGCCAGCACTGGGTATTGGTAATATATCACGTGGGTAGGTGAGCTGCACAATTAGTAGAGCTGCACTTAAAAGTGATGTGATATCTGATGTGATTGGAGCAGAGCAGGCTCCAGCTCTAATGCACAGTTATCCTGTACATATCTTTCTATTATGGAGCAAGGAAAAGAAGAGTCAATCCCAGGACACAGCATCAAGTAAAATAATTAAGGAATCCATTTGCATGTTAGTGCTCTATTTTCTCTCGGATCCTGGCTTTCCACCTAGCCTTGTTAAGTCTGTTTCATCTGCCAGTTAGCACAGCAGGGCCTTAAATGATGATTCAGGTACATGGGATGTTTTAAACTTCACTATAAATACTGGTAATGGTACAGCATTGTGTTAAATAAGTGGATGGTAATGGCTGTTGATTTGGAGACAGAACTCTATCTGTGGTAAAGTTCCTAACAGCAAGGCAGGAATGAAAATGAATGGAGCTCTGTAAATAAGCACACATGCAATGAGATACTAAGTGGTCTTCTTTGAGAACAAAACGTCTAAAGTGTTTATACTACTTGACACCATCTGAAATGCCCTGTCTCAGTGTCTAAGGACAGCAACAGGTTTCTTGTTGACTAGCCTTAGGCCAGTGTCTTTGCTACCCGCTGTCTTTACTCGCTCCCCTCTCATCTCGTATTTATATCACTTGTACTTTAGTCTAGGTACTTTATACAGAGCCTAGAACAGAAACCACGGATGTAAGCAGAACCCTCATGTACTCCTGGAATAATACCACTAATTAAGAGCGTGCTCAGAGAGCTATGTTCTTAAAATATGGGAGGTTTCATAAGCTGCATCTGAAACAGTGGTACTGTAGCCTAGCGATACGAAAGCTGGCAAGAAGTATCATTGCTGCCTATAAATACA